GGGGGTTATCTCGGAGCTTCACAAGCCTCGCTGTGCTCTGCAGGGAGTTGCAGCTTGTGCTCACTGCAGACCCAGAGTAGGTGAGCCAGGAAAGCCTGGTTTGAGCAACCACTTCAGAGGGCAGGACAGGGAGGAAAAGCAAACATTGTAGAGAGGTGGCCTCCCTGGTAAGGCTAGAGCAGGACCGTCCTGCGGACCCTGAGGGAGGGAGAAGGTAAGTGGCTGCTTGGCAGAGGCTGCCTGCGGGAGCGGCATGTGCCGGGCAGGGTGCGCCCTGCCCGCAGTTCCTGCGGCTCAGCACCAGCCGCTCCGTGGGTTTGTACAACCTGTGCTGTGGTATGTGCCGAGGCTCAGGGCTGTTTCCCTGCGAGGGAGCAGGGTGCTGCCGCGAAGGAGGCACCGCAGCCCGCGCCTTTCGCAACGACTGCGCTCATCGCTCCATTCCTCGCTCCCCCCCTCGCTCCTCACCGGGTCAGGCTCTATGTCGACAGCAAGCGACAAACCGTCCGCACAAAACAGAACACGTTCCCATGGAGGGGGAAAAAAAACCAAACAAACCAACAACAAAACCAAAGCGTTTCCGCAGTGCCAGGCTGGCGTTGTAGCCCTGTCGGGAGCTGCGGCGCTCGGAGTCGGGGCCGGGGCCGCCCGAGCCAGGCTGGAGCCAGCCCTGAGCGCCCGGGCCGGGTCACGGTGGCTTTCAGTGACCGTCTGCTGGCAAAATCGGAAGGAACGGTGACGTTGTTCTTAGCTGAACACCATTAAAATGCTCCTCTTGTATCTCTCAATAGAGGTGAAAAGCATTTCAGCTTCCTGGAAATGGCCGAAACAGGCGACGTGTAGATCAAAGTACGGCGCAGAGCTGGGCTCGTGTTTGCAGGGGTTTTTGAACTGTAGTGAAAACGTTTCTGCGGCTTGCATCGTAATGAGTTAAGTCAGCACGTGAAGCGACTAAAAAAGGCATATTTAAACAGCATCGGGCTATTAACTTTCCTGGGATTTAAGATTTATGTTAAAATATATTTTTGGCTGTTAGTAATACCAGCATTTAAACCGTAACGTTGATCTGTTCAACCCTGAAGCAAACCAGCTCTGYCTAACGCAGCTTTGAAGCGACACAGCCAGACCATAATACTGTGGGAGCTTAGACAGCTTTGTCTGTACTTGCATCTCTCTGCATATTTTTCCAGGACTCTGATCTTTGTCTGCGATTAATCATTGTCCAGGACGGCTGTTCCCGGTGGTAGAATCCATGAAGTGTTCCAGCTGGGAGAGGTCCTAACGCGTGTGCCTTTGCGTACGTGCAAACCAGGGCCAGAAATTGCTGGGGCAGCAGGCGCTGGACAGCGAGCCTGCCGTGCCGCCCCAGTGAGTTGTGTGGGTCCTCAGCACTTCTGCGAGTTGTTTTTGTAAGTCTGAGCTGAAAATTTCTTTCCGTTTTTAGAGTTTCTAAATTACTATAATGTTCAGCGTAGTTTAAAAGTCGCCAAGGCAGTTGAGACCGGTTGTGCTCTCAGAGTGGGTGGTTTCATGGCTGAACCTCGTATCTGGAAAGCAAAATGTTCTGGTACAGTGTGTTTAAATCCCAGAAAGGTCAAACCCGACTTTCATACTTGAGTTAGATTGACCCTGGTTTGGTGCGTGAGACTCTTTAGAGAAAGAGATCTTTCAGAGAAAAGAGGGGGGGAGAGACTTTTTTTTTTTGCTCTGAACAGCTTGTGGTGACTCCGTGCACATTCTTGAAGCAAAGGGTTTGTTCTTGCCCACAGCGTCCCTCCCCGGCATTGTTGAGTGAAAAACTCTTATGCTAATTATATCACTGTCTGTTATCAATAAGAAGTGATTTAATTTCTTTGGCAAAGTGTTGCAACAAGAGCAAATTAGATTGAGAGGCAAAGTGAAATAAAAAATATGCAGCTGTTCTGCCAAACAATGATCCTGACTGTTTACAACATTTTGTTTTAGACTGCCTTGTACACAGAATCCTTTATATTGAAGGCTTGCAAGTCACAATCCACTGCTTGTGCAAGGAAACTAGATTAATAGATTATAAAAGACAAAAGAGACTAAGGTTCATCTGGTTCAACTTCCTGCATTACGCAGATCTATGGATTTTTGTGAATTTTTTTCTTTTTCTCATTTGAAAGAATTTTAACTGCAGCATAACTGCATCTTAGATAAAGATCAGCTTTTCATTTTCAAATAGGCTSTGAAAGAGAGTAAAATAAGAGTAAATAGTTTCCATCAAAATCTGCCTGACAGACTAGAAATCAAAGTACCTTCTAAAACTTGTCTAGTTTCTGCTTTCAGTTTGTGGATGTCCCTCCTTGGCAGAGGAATGCTCCATGACCAGATTTCTGTTCCTGCGTAGCTCTGTGAAGGCTGAGCATTTAAATACTCCATTGCAGGCTGCAGAGCTCCCCCTCGGGTCCATCTTTACTAATCCTGTAATTGTTCCTGCTCCACTTTGTCACCGTTTTGATCTGGGCAGAAGGGGACAGAGCCATCGGCAGTGACCATGCCCGAGCCAACAGCCTTCCTGGCTCAGATGTGTCTGTCAGGCACMCAGGGATTACACCAGCCCATGTTCAGCTGGTTTCCCAGCAGGGCTGCTAAAATACTCTCAGATCTGCTCCTTCTTAGGATGACAACCCTGTGCTGTAGGTTTGTGCTCTTTGTTCTGCATGTACGGTTTTATTCTGGTCCTCTTGAAAACCCTTAGACGGTGTTGTTGCTTGCAATGGCCTTTTTTAATTACTATTTTTATTTAATACTTCTGATACTGCTGAGTGTCACCTGCAAACGTGGTTGGTCATGACTTTATATTTTCTTCCAGATAAACAACCTATCTGCACTGTGGGTGTGTCCTGGTTCCGGGTGTGTGTACACACACCTCAGCAGTGTCAATATTGTGTCAGGAGGAGGTCTGGTTCCACATCATCCCTTGCCACACCCCAGTTTCATGGGAAGAAAGCCCAGTTTAGGAGCTGGAAGGGAGCCAGAGGCACACTGCAACATTTGCCTGCCCTGGTATCTATTATGTAGCCATTAAATAATGCAGAGCTCAAAACAGGTGGTTGCAGGATCCATAAAAGAAAGGTGACAGGTCTGGGGCGGGGTGGTTACAAAGTACATTTTGAGACCTTCCTGTTAGATGGGTTCTTTTAGAGGYGATGCCTCACTACATCCTTTCTATCCAGCTGTTCATTCAAGTCCTAAATACATTTGGGACTTCTTCCCCCCCTGCCAAATTTGATTCGGATTGGAGGAAGGAGGGGGGAAAATTACATAGAACAACACAGTCGCATTAGACAGTTTTATTTTTAGGAAACCAGGCTAAGAATATCAAATGAGTATCAAGTAGGAATATGGACGGGGTATTTGCCTGTTCAGATTTTCTTGCCATGAAAGTTTTCATTCCTTCCTAAGAGCAGCAGATGATCTGTCTAGGGAATTGTCAGCCAAAATAAGCAACCTGCTGACAGATTTCACCTGTGTCCCAGCATGCTCTGAGGATGCATGGGATGTGAGCCTTGAACAATGACAGGGAATCACTAGGCTGTGTTCTTTGGCTGCTGGGATGCAGAGATGCACAGTGACACCCAACAGTAGAACAAACATTTACTGTGTTTAAGATCCAAATAAATTTTGATGGACGTGTTRGATATTTGCCAGAGCTGAGGGGGCTTTTTGGTAACTTTTTAAGCTGTATGTGATCATATTATTTCTGCTAGTATTGTAACAAAGCCACCTCTGTAAGGTAGGGACTGAGTGCTTTCAGAGATCTAATCTTTCTTGAGCTGTAAAGGAATAAAGAAGCTGTTTCAACACCTGACTTGCAGAATGTTTTGTGTTGCTTCTTGCCTATTGAAATGCAGCTGCCATTGAAACACTGTGAGCCCATCAGGATGTAGAACTGGCTATTTTTCAGAATGCTTTCAAGCTTATAAAAATCATGAAATAAATCAAGACGGTTGGCAATTCTAATCAGCGTTCTAAAGCCATCAAATTACAAAACAGCTCAGTGCTTCATGGCCCCTGAACAGTACAGTTTTACAAAAATAAAAGAGAAAGAATGAAAAGAATGTACCATTTAAAGACACTGTGCACTTACAAAGCTTGCATCAAAAGGAAATGAAGATACAAATAAGTAATCTAAAAGGATATTTATGCATTAAATTACTTGTGTCTCTGGACACTTCATTAAACAGTCTGGATGTATGGTAGCTGGGGACCTGGGAGCCTTTTTARCACATGCAGCACATACAAGGAACATTCTGATTATAAGTGATGGAGTATAAAACGTTGCAGCCAGAAACCGATGACAAAGATCAAATGGAATGAGTTCAGCTTACRAATCAGAGCAGTGTCTTCCCACTGGTGTGATGTGACACGAGACCAAGACTTTGTTTTGCCCTTGACATTGCCACCATTGCTCTCAATCCTGCRGTTAAGGATTTGCATCTTGATTTATTGTTTGACAGGACAGTGGGGAGTGCCCCAGCTGGTTCTCTGAGCCCTGGGTTGCAGCCGAGTGGGCCCGAAGGTGCCGGATCAGTGAAGGCTGTGCCATYTATGGGCTCTCTGTGCTGCTGCACTACAGCAGCTCCCAGTTGCTAAGCAGCTGCAGGGCTGTCTCTGTGCTGTGCTGTGCTGTGCGAGGGGAGCAGCACGGGTTCCCCTTGATCGCTGGAGAGGAGCCGGCAGCATGGAAACGGGAGCAGTGGCCATGGCAAAATCGTTCCATCTCTGGCTGGCTCGTGGACATGCTGGCAAAAACGCTGGAGCGAGGAGAAAGGACACTCGGTGGAGCAGGGGGTGGCAGGAGGGGAGGGGAGAGCCAGCATATGTGCACAGCAGAGGTTACAAAGACAGCAGATCCTGGCAGAGCAGGGGGCGCACACTGAGGAGAAAGGAATGGGACAGAGGCCAAAGGCACAGTTCAGAATTAAAAAAAAAAACAAAAAAAAAACAAACCAGGAGGAGAGTATGGCATATGGAGAGGGGAAATAAAGCAGAACTTGCACAGCCTGCGAATAATTGAATAGAAAATACAGGAAGAGGGAAGGAGCTTGATTCATTACTGCCCTTCACCTTGTGGGGACAGCTACATCCAGGAAGAGGAGGTGTGGAATACAACAGCATCCTTTATGTTTCAGAGTGAACTATAGGTTTTATATTTCAACCCCTGCCATTTGTGCTTTTCTCCTTTCATAGCCCATGCCTTTTGTTCAGGCTTGATTCCTGCAGGCTCTTTT